GTTTCATGGTAGAAGGACAAGCTATATGTGGGCAGGGAATGTGACTTCTACCTCTCTCTATAGGTACCCAACACGTAGTAGCATGCGATGAGAATTTATTGCCCTGTAAATTTAATTGCATATGATTACTTAACAATAAAATGAGAGAAGACATTATCTTGGCTAGGCTTCATGGAGGCGAGGCTGTGAAGCTCATTGAATTGGTGTGAGGGCTTTGATGCCAGATAGCCTGGGTTTGAATTCTGGCTCCCATTCACTGATGATATGATTTGATCAATGATATGATCTCTCTATGCCTCAGTGTCCCTGTCCATAAATAGGAACTAGCAATACCACTCGACCAAGCCCCTAAAACCGGAACACATTCTTTAAATGTCTGTTGCCACAATTTTATAATTTCTCCCCAATAATCCTTATATTCTTAGGGAATACATATAGCTAATACATAGGTGGACTTTATCTTATCCAACTTTTGTCTAGATTATCAGATTCTTATCTTTAAAACATGAATTATCTGGATGACTGTGGGTGTTTTCCCCATTATATAAACTGGAGGCACAGAAAAGAAGCTGACCAAAAGCAATAAAACAGACAAAGAAAAACGTAGAATGAATCAGTGTTAGCAAAAGAGAAGAGCCTGAGGGAGCATCAGGAAGGCTGCCAAGTAGATCTATTAAGTAAAAGAGAGAGGGGAGAAAACCATCAATTAAAATTAATTAAACTTTTAATTGTTTGCGATGCTGACCTCATGCTCCAGGTGCCTAAAACAAAGGAAGAAATGGGGATAATTGAGTGGTCAGGACATTTTTCCAACTGGCCACTTTTCCCTTAACAAGACCACACCTGTCTCTTCCACGTAGTCCTCGAGGGCATCTTGGGTCAGGACCTGAAATCATGGCTCAAGTTGCCCTGCACTGAAGAGAGAGGGCGTGCTGAGCCCTGGCAGACAGCTGTCTGGACCCTTCTTCCTCATTCTTCTCCATCAGCACGTCCAGCTGATGATACTTACAAACTGAATTCTGCTTCTCTGCACCTCTTCCCCACTCCAAGCCTCTGTTTCCACCTGGAAAACCACAATGGCTTGCTAAATGGTTTCCTCATTTCTACTTGTACATTTATCATTCTCCAAAATTGCCTTGTCTTGACTTTTCTGCTTGTTTTTCCCATTAGCCTGTAAACTTCTCATTCACCAGTGGCTGGCACATGCATAGCCCACTCTTTCTCTTTTTCAAAAAAAATTTTGACTCCTGATTTTATTATTCAATTTCTCTTTTCTATTTTTTTTTTAAAAGAATTTATTTATTTATTTAAGAGAGACAGAGCGAGCGAGCATGACCCCGGTTTGGGGGGTGGGGGCAGAGGGAGAGGGAGAAGCAGACTTCCGGCTGAGCAGGGAGTCCGATGTAGGGCTCTATCCCAGGACCTTGAGATCGTGACCTGAGCCCAAGGCAGATGCTTAAAGGACTGAGCCACCCAGGAGCCCCTCCCTTTTCTATTTAAATTAGTCTTCAGTGGCTGGGAAGCCTGGCCTTGCAAGATCACAATCAGTTGGAGCTGGTTGTTGTTGGAAGGGGGTTGGGTTGGGGACTGGGATGCGGGCAGGGAGACTCTGCTCTGCTGGCAGCATCACTCTTGATTGAATGGAAGGAGCTGGAAATAGTTGTCTTCTCAAGTAAAAGACATTTTCTCTCTCAAAGGCAAGTCCACTCTATAGATATGAAAGTGGACCCCTTAATAGATCTACTGGGCAACATTTTGTCTAAGTCATTCAAATTATAAGACCTCAAAGTCATTAAAGGTAGTCACACTATTTATTTATTTATTTGAGAGAGAGAGAGAGAAAGCAGCAGCAGGAGAGACAGAGGGAGAGGGAGAATCTGGAGAAGACTCCCCCCTAAGTGTGGAGCCTGATGCCAGGCTTAATCCCAAGACCCTGAGATCATTCATGGCCTGAGCCACCCAGGCCCCCCTATAGTCTTCTTTTTAAGTGTGTCATTTGTCTTTTTCAGACCCAGGAACTGGAGAATGAATGAAATATTCCCAGATTAGGCTGACCCACTCACCTATGTTGACTCTGGTGACTCTGGTGGCCAAGTCCCTCCCACCTCATTCTCAGCAATTATATTCAGCCTTTGAATGTTTGTCTCACACAATTCTGCTTCCCTGATACTGGCTCTTGGGGCTCCGTGGTACAAGGGTTGCCGTCACTCTCCCTGCCACATTTCTGACCACCTTGGGAAATGTGAGGTCATTACACATGGTCCAGAGCCACCTGTCAGGAAGGGGCCCAGGCTGTTTCTTGTATGAGGTAGCTCCATTCTGGAGTACTTGATCCTCCCCTCTCTGTCCTGTCACAGCTGATTGGAACGGGGGGGGAGGGGGTGAGGGTGGTCACCCCGAGGTCATCCAGTCCAAAGCCTGGTCGGCACAGAGTCTGGCTCAGGACAGAAAGCTCCAGCCAATGAGATGAGTCAATCACAACCCACCCACTCCCCTGGAGCTTGATCTGTGAAATGTAGACAGAATTGTATGGTCATTGGAAGTTTGGGAGGTCATGAGAAAGGGAGAGGCCTTGTAGGACCAGGAGCAAATTAGAGTTAGGAAGACTCACAGGCAGAAGTGCTGAGCTGAAGCAGGGCTAGATAGAGTGGGGGGCAAGGAAGCCATTGGAAGCAGGAAGACAGGGGGCAGACACACAAAGAGAAGCAGAGACCCAGAGAGCGGCCAAGTCAAGGTAAAAGTGGAAAGCTAGAGGTAAGCTCCCAGATTCTTGCGACAGGGCTCCTGGAGCACCTCAGTGGATACCTTGGGTTCTTAAATACCTTCCTGTTCCAGTCTCCAGGATCCCAGGTTACGGTATGCTCCTGATTTCCATGAGATTCTGGCTCCCGTGTTGTGCCACAATAAACCCTCATTGCTTGAGCCGCCCTGAGTGGCTTGCTGTTCTTATGGGCTCACAAGCCAACATACCAAAAGTGACCACTGTCTGTGGGCGGCAACCCCACACCGGCACGGGCTGTTTCTAACAGGCCGTGTGTGTGAGTGTGTGGCGGTGATGCCTGAGAGCTTTCAGGGTGTGACTCCTCTGCTCAAAGGCTCTGCTAATAACCACAGGGGTGGTTTTAATCCTCAAGGATCTAGGCTCCATTTTTTTTAAATTCACGTATCCTCCAATTTTATATACATATATGTTTTATAAAAAATATTTACAACTATATCATATATATAAAAGAAAACATATAAATATATAATATAATATGTAAACATAAACATATACACAGATATATATTATAGGTACGATACAATTGCAACTTAGATAGGGGTTAGAGGCTGAAGTGTGTGTTTGGCTAAAGCTGTATATAGTCAAAATTCTGCTGGGAACCCTCTAAATACCAGCAGAGCACATGTACATGATTTTGGGTATGTTATTATAGCCTTTAGAGTAATAGTAAAAATAAATGCAAAGAAATATTATCAGACCTTCCTGCAGAATGCTTGCTAAAATAGCTGCAAAGGAGAAAAACAGATTTTGGTCCCCACCCCGACATATACTCAAAGTAGCAAAACTGTGACTGTAACTTGCAAAGACTTTTTCCTTCCCAAGTGGCAACTGAATAATTCCTCCCAGCAAACAGAATTTCTGTGCCATTCCCCGTCAGTCAGATTTTCTATGAGATGATTTGAATTGGACCCCTCTTGACTTTCCACAGATTTGAGATGGTTCTAACGGTTGGCACGTATATAATAACTCCATTAAAATTGAAAACAAAAAATCTTAGAAAGGGACGAATAGTCCAAAAAAGGGAGGCTGATATAATTCCCACCATGGACAACTAAACGCTGAACTTCCTGGAAGTCAAGGGAAAAAGGGGAAATCCTAGATAAGAATTATCATTGTTTAATCAAAATAAGTTAATCAAAAGAGAGGGTTTTCTCTTAGCACTGTTTAAAAAAATTAAGTCACTCATAATTTCATCATAGTGATATTCTTATTTTGCTTGTATACACTGTATTCCTGTCCTTCTCTGCGGGCAAAATAATGGGTAATTTTGTTTTAAAAATATTTGAATAGGCAAAACGATCATGTAGTCTGAAAATAAAAGAGTGTGAAAAGTTTCTCTTTCATCCTGGTCATACATTTGCCCACTTTCAACTCCCCCAATCCGCCCCCTCCCCCGTTTTGTATCCTTCTAGAGTTTTCTTGCACATTCAATAACATCGTCATCATCAACAGCAACGAAATATAGATTCTTGTCCCATGCTCTTCTTATGCCTTGATTTCTCTCATTTAACAACCTTTTTCTGTGGACTTTTGTCTATCAGTAGGAAAGCGTCCTCATTCTCTTTCATAGCTACAGGGTATCCACTCTGTGGCTGCACCTCTACTAACTGAACCTGGGCCCTACTGGTCCTTTGTTTTGCTATGTGAATTTGAATGCTATCGCCAATTGCCCTCCACAGGGGTTTTGGCAATTTATGCGGTTAGCAGCAGTGTCTGAGAGCTGAGTTGCTGCATAACATCCATACACTCCAGAATCAGAGTCTTGCTAAGTTCCAGGGAGGGAGGAAAAGGAAGGAAGGAAGAACTGTTTATCAGGCACCTGCTCTATGCATATATACGTCTGGTCCTCACTGTAATGCTCTGAGGCAAATTGGCAGCTCCGATTTTTACTAATGAGGCAGTTTTGTCTCTGAGAGGTTAGGGAATTTGCACCATATCTCAGGTAAGTGGGCGAGGGTCCTGACCCGGAGGCTGGCTTGGTTCCAATGTGCCAGAGTTCTGGTGGGCTGGAGGATATCTCAGCAGAGCCCTGGGGTTGTCCTGACAGTGTTCATGAACCAGCAAGGTTCTTAGTGTCCCCACTATTTTATTTTCTTGCCTGCTTAGACATTCAAGTGTCACAGCTCAGCCCTTATTAGAGGAGCCCCTGGCCACCCTCCCCCCACTACCCCACCCCCTCTTCCGCTTGGCATCCTCCCCAGGTTCCAGCCCTGGGCCCTCACAGGTGATTTTTGAAGTTGGAGCAGGGATCCTCCTGGTGCTCCTCTCCCAGAAGAGCATCTAACCACTCCTCCAGGTCCCGGACCAGCTGCTCCAGCTCTCGCACCTCTTTCTCTAGCTTCTCCAGGAAGACATGCAAGTTTTCCTTCAACCAGGTCCTGATGACCTTTATTGGCTCTTCTGCGGGTTCATTGGTCTGGTACTCAAATCCCTGAAAGGCAGACGTCAAAGTTGCATCTTGAGCCTTTTCATGTAGGACCCCCTTGCCACTGGTTTCAAAAAGTTTTCTGAGCCTTTGCATACGCTATTCCTTCTGTCTGGAGTGCCCATCCCCACCTTCTCCACCTGGCCAGCTCCTACTTATCCTTCAAGATCCAGCTCACCCATGACACCTCTGGGAAGCCTTCCCAGATTTCCTCGGCCAAACTTCACATCCCCTCAGCACCTTTTTTGAATATGTTACCTGGGAAGCCACGGGATTCTGGGGATAGTTACATTCTCTGATCCTTTCTGACACTTCCCAACTTCTTTCTGAAACAGGCACAAACGTCACCTCTTAACAAGGGCAAATGAGCAGTCGTTGAAATAAACATGGTTGGTCATCCCAGTGGGTGAAGGGGGGGCGAGAAGGCAAGTTTTGGAGGCCCTGTTGACATGCAGCCATCTCCCGAATACCCCTCCTGACTCCGGGTGGACTCGGCTCCTCCTTTCTCAGCTTCCGGAATGCTCACCTGATATTCCTGTGCCCACGTACAGCACCAAGATCAGCAATGCCAACAGTGTCTGGTGGCAAGAAGAGGAGGAAGGAAGTGACTTACTGGGGGGCAGCCATCCCTGCTGCCCTCACAGAGCGGTGCTGTAAGCTCGTTTTAGAGCTTAACTTTTTTCCAGTTATCTATGGCATGCATGCTTACTACAAACCCCCCAAACATTGCAGAAGTAGGTAACATGGCAGCCCAGTGACATTCCCCTGGAGGTTTCCTTCCCTTCTCTCTGCTGAGAAGGCCCACTTCTGTTCTCATTCCTTGCCTTGCTTTTACATTTTTGCTCTAAATGATCTTTAAAAGGAATCAACTTTATTGTGGTATAATTCACAGACAATAAAATGCACACATTTTAAATGTACAGTTTGATGAGTTTTGACATGTCTACACCTGTGGACTACCATCCCAGTCAAGAGAAAGAACATTTCCATCATCCCGGAAAGTTCCCTTATACCCTTTTACAGGCTGTTCCCTCCTTACCCTCACCCTGCCAGAGGGATCCACTAATCTGCTCTGTCACTATGGAGTAATTTTGCCTGGTCTATAACTCCATAAATGGAACTTCATAGTCTTTTGTGGTTAGCTACTTTTGCTCAACATAATGCTTCTGAGTTGTCTCCATGTTTGTGTGTTCAGTGTTATTGATGAGTAATATATTGTACAAATATGGTACAATTTATCTCTTTACCTACTGATGGACTTTGGGCTGTTTCTAGTTTCTGATGATCATGAATAAAACTGCTATGAACACCTGGATACAACTGTTTGGGTGGACACATGTTCTCATTCTGCTTGGGTTAGCACCCAGAAATGCAAATGCTGGGTCATATGGCGGGTGCATGTTTAATTTGATAAGAAACCACCAACCTGTTTTCCAGGGGTTTGAACCAATTTACATTTCTACCAGCAACCTGAGAATGTTAGTTGCTCCACATTCCTGTTGGCAAAATTCTTAATTTTAGGCATTCTATTGGTTGTGTAATGGTACCTCGATCTAGTTTTTATATGCACTTCCCCAGTGATGAATGATGTTGTCTTAGTCCGTTTGCACTGCTGTAACAAAGTACCACAGACCGGATGGCTTATAAACAACAGAAATTTATTTCTTACTGTTCCGGGGGCTGGAAGTTTGGGACCAGGAGGCCAGCATGGTCAGGTTCTGGTGAGGGCGATCTTCTGGGTTCCATCCATTTCCACTGTATCGTTACATGGTGGAGAGCAGAGAGAGCTCTTTGGGGTCTTTTTCTTTTTTTTTTTTTTTTTTAAGTCAGGACACTACTCCAATTCATTAGGGTTCCACTCTCATGAATCATCTCCTGAAGACCCCCAACTCCTAAAACCAGCACTTTGGGAGTTAGGATTTCAACATATGAATTTAGGGGGGACATAAGCATTCAATCCATAGCAGATGTTGAGCATCTTTTCATGTGCTTACTGATCATAATTCACATATCTTACTTTGTGGGCGTGTCTATTAAAAACCCAGTTCATTTTTTTTATTGGGCAATTTGTTTGCTTATTAAGTTTTAGTAGTTCTTTATTTATTTTGGATATACGTTCTTTGTCAGATGTTTGTATTGTGACTGTTTTCTCCAGGTCTGTGGCTTGCCTTTTCATTTTACCAGGGTGTTTGAAAGTTAAAAGGTTTCAAATTTTATGAAGTTCAAATCATCAAACATATTCCCTTTATGGTTATGTTTTTTTGTGTGCAATCTAAAAAATTTTGCCTAACTCAGGGTTGTGAAGATTTTTCTCCTCTGTTTTCTTCCTGGCATTTTATTGTTTTAATTTTCCACTTAGGTAGATGGTCCATTTTGAATTAATTTTTGTATATGCCGTGAAGGAGGGGTCAAGATTCTTTTCCTCATATGAATGTCCAGTTCTAGAATTATTTGTTTAAAAAGCCTAATTATTCATTGGATTGCATTGCTCTCTGTCAAAAATATGCCCACCATATTTATGTGCGTCTGCTTCTGGATTCTATTGTTTCACTGATCTATATATCAATCTTTATGTCAGTGCTAAATCTATTAGTTTGTTGGAGCTGCTATAACAGAATACCACAGATTGGGTAGCTTAAACAAAAATTAATACTAACTATTAATAACAATTAACAGTCATGGAAACTGGAAATCCAAAATCAAGGTGTGAGGCAGGGTTGGTTTCTGGTGAAACCTCTCTCCCTGGCTTCTGGAAGGCTGCCTTCTCCCTGCGTCCTCACATGGACTTTTCTCTGTGCATCCCTGGTATCTCTCTTCTTATAAGGCCATGAGTGCTATTGGAGTAGAGCCCCACCCTTTAGGACCTCATTTAACCTTAATTATTTCCAAGTACAGTTGGGGCTTCCACGTGTGAATTTTGGAGGACACAGTTCAATCCGTAACAGCCCTCTCCATTGTCACTATGCTGTTCCATTCCTTTCTCTATCTCATGTCAATGCCACACTATCTAGATGACCATACAGCGGTTTTTTCTTTATTTTTTTAAATTTAATTTTATTATGTTATGTTAGTCACCATTCATTACATCATTAGTTTTTGATGTAGTGTTCCATGATTCATTGTTTGCGTATAACACCCAGTGCTCCATTCAGTACCTGCCCTCCTTAATACCCATCACTGGGCTAATCCATCCCCCCACCCCTCCCCTTTAAAACCCTCAGTTTGTTTCTCAGAGTCCATACTCTCTCATGGTTCGTCTCTCCCTCTGATTTCCCCCCCCTTCATTTTTCCCTCCCAATTATCTTTTTTTTTTTTAAACATATAATGTATTATTTGTTTCAGAGGTACAGGTCTGTGATTCATCAGTCTTACACAATTCACAGCGCTCACCGTAGCACATACCCTCACCAAAGTCTATCACCCAGCCACCCCATTCCTCCCCCCCCCCAACACTCCAGCAACCCTCAGTTTGTTTCCTGAGATTAAGAATTCCTCACATCAGTGAGATCATATGATACTTGTTTTTCTCTGATTGACCTATTTCGCTTAGCTTAATACGCTCTAGGTCCATCCACGTCGTTGCAAATGGCAAGATTTCATTTTTTTGATGGCTGCATAATATTCCATTGTATATATAAACCACATCTTCTTTATCCATTCATCTGTTGTTGGACATTTTGGCTCTTTCCATAGTTTGGCTATTGTGGACATTGCTGCTAAACATCAGGGCACACGTACCCCTTTGGATCACTACATTTGTATCTTTGGGGTAAATACCCAGTAGTGCAATTGCTGGGTTGTAGGGTAGCTCTATATTCAACTTTTTGAGGAACCTCCATACTGTTTTCCAGAGTGGCTGAACCAGCTTGCATTCCCACCAACAGTGTAGGAGGGAATTGGAAACTGGAAGTCCAAGATCAAGGTGTGAGGCAGGGTTGGTTTCTGGTGAAACCTCTTTCCCTGGCTTCTGGAAGGCTGCCTTCTCCCTGCGTCCTCACATGGCCTTTTCTCGGTGCATCCCTGGTATCTCTCTTCTTATAAGGCCATGAGTGCTATTGGAGTAGAGCCCCACCCTTTATGACCTCATTTAACCTTTCTCTGCATCCCCGCCAACATCTGTCATTTCCTGACTTGTTAATTTTAGCCATTCTGACTGGTCTGAGTGAGGTGGTATCTCACTGAGGTTTTGATTTGGATTTCCCTGATGC